TTAGCATCTGTATTTATCTACTTTGGTGTTTCCATGGTCCTATAATATGAGTTTTTCTGCCACAAATTCGCCGTTTTTTCGCTCGACATTACATAACTTTCTGTCTACCGCGGTAGCAGTAGCAACAAAGTAAAAACTGCGCCCTTTGTTTGAAAATCTTGTATATGTCCCAGAGGCTTCATGTAATGTTCCACCCAAATTTAAAATATCGCGACATCAGCCAGATCAATTGGATGTAACCATATTGAATCAAATCTGCTGATTTTTCTACTTTTCCAACAATTTTTTCTGTCGAAAAATCAACGATTTTTTTCCGCAGTAAAAGCAAATCCTACAGAATATAGCACTAACTAGTACTAAAAAGTATGCGTCATTCTATAGCACTACTAGTTATATGTTCAATCTGTCTTTCTGTAACAGATTTTTAAGGAAACATGGAAGTTGCAGTGAGAATGGTGTTTTTATTCTAAGCGACTCAAGTTCGGTCATTGTATTAAACATTGTTTAATTTGGCAAAATACTGTAATACAGCACTCAAGGCAAAGTTGTGACAACAACGATTCTAAAAATAAGAAAAATGAAAATTTTCAACAAATTATAATGCGCTTAACTAAAATTAAAATTGTAAAATCATATTCGTATTATTTTTTTTCTATGTCAAATAATACAAAATATTGAAATTACCTTGATGCAGAAGCTGCTATGGGTGTTAAAATTAACGCGCAGACGCAAAGCAACTCCAGTTACGTGAATGCAGTCAGACAGTAAGTATGAAGTCAAATTATTGTGAAATGCTAATCTTTACTTTCTATTGAATTGTATTAACATTAATTTGATCTTACGAATAATCAGGGAAGTAATTCAACACTTTTAGTTGAAACGTAAAATAATAACTGCTTTATTTCTTCAGTTTGTGATTAAAATGGCAGAAGTAATTTTCGAATGGAATTCTTTGAAGTCGTCCGATTCTTTCAAAAAATTCGAGTTCTCACTATTTATTTTAATATCACTACATTACTTTCAGATACATCTTATTAATTTTACTCTACATAAAATTAAAGTATAAATATATTTTATTAACTGTTGCTTCCCACCTTAACCAATATTTGTACATTTTCAGAGTTTCAAGTATGACGATCTCCAGAGTTTTTCAACCATGGTACATTCCGGATTTTATCTTTCTCAATTCCCCTATTGGGCGAAAATACAAAAAAATGTTAAAAATACTTCATGGAACAACACAAATGGTAATCATAATTGTTTATATTGTCATAACTGTTAATATAAATGCTACTCTGAAATTAATGTCATGTAAGGCGGGATCTAGTATTTTTTCAGGGCTTGAGGTGAATAAATTTGTTGAGATTTATAGAACAAAAAAAATATTTTTAAAATGAAAATCACTACTTACTATAATTGTAATAACAAACTTTTCAAGGAACATTTTATTAATTTAAATAACCAGACTATAAAGTTAATACGATTTTTGTGTTACTTCATAAAACATGAAATATAATTCCTTAAAATTGTCTTAAGAGCTTATTTGCAAAGTTCAGACGTTTACTTTCTGAACAATCTGTATGAAAATTACATTGACTGTGAACCAAATATGTTTTAGGTAATTGAAGAAAGAAGGGAAGAATTAGAAAAAATATGGTCCCAAAACACGTTTATGAATGTGGATGAACTCGGTAAGAATTAAAATTATTTACAGAAATAGATAATAAAAATTGCTTTACAATTTATTCAAACTTGCACTATATTGCTCACTCATTTGTTAAAAATTCCCGACTTTAAAATATAAATGTACAAAAATAGGGAAATAGTGTACTAGTACTATGGAATACATTTTAATTTAGGTTTTACGAGCATAAGCACAAAATTTCAAAATAGTGATATTACGAGTAAGTAATCAATTTTGTACAAATGTAATAAAGGACATAAACGAGTTTAACACGCTATATTTTGTGTAATAACAATACGTATTGTTTAATGTAGTTAGTAAAGAAATCAAGTTAAAAAAAGAAATTCAAAAGTAAAGTTTTGAAGTAGGCAACGAGATCGTCGGTTTACGATGCCACACGTTCGTATGACTTTTGAATTACGACATTTGAATGATTTATCTTCGGTTTACCGTCACGCCCTCGCGATTAATTTGTATCATTCCTCTGAGTGTGAGCAAATTCTTTGTGCCATTGACAGGTTTTATATCATAATTTGTATCATACAATGATATTTCGCCAACGATTTCTTGCAACGGGAAAGGTTTATAATGATGGTATAAAAAACTTCTCCTGATGTTGAAATCAAATATTGTCAGGTATACACGTATAGTGAATAGTTCGTTTTTGAACCTTCAAATTTACACTTTGAGAAGTCCGTATCTATGCAAATCTGGACATGTGCATGCAAAACTCCATTTGTATCGTCGTTCAAAAATTAGTTATTATTTACACTAAATTATTATTTGTAAGGACGTATTAAAATCGCGGCGTCTCATTAGAAAATACAAATTATACCCACTTCAAACACTAGTGTTCTAAGAAAAAATGACAACAAAATCAAAGTTTTGATGCAAGGTTGAAACTAAAGTATCTTAAAAAGGGTGATAAGTTCGTAACTTAATTTTTATGGCTTTACAAGTTGATGCATTTTCTTCAAACTCGTGATGCTTCGAAATTTTGGAACTGTCTATGAAGTAATCGACGCACGCTAATGCAAATTATTCTTAAACTAGCGCTACTCGGCAGACATCTTTCACTCCATCTCCCCCCCCCCCTTCCATCTTTCTCCTTCCCTCTCTCCGTGTCTGTCTCCCTCTCTCCGTGTCTGTCTCCCTCTCTCCGTGTCTGTCTACCTCTCTCCGTGTCTGTCTCCCTCTCTCCGTGTCTGTCTCCCTCTCTCCGTGTCTGTCTCCCTCTCTCCGTGTCCTTCTCCCTCTCTCCGTGTCTGTTTCCCTCTCTCTGTCTCTGTTCTACTCTACCCAACTTTACAATGATTCTGCATTAAATCCTGGAGAAGAACCTGTAAATATTTCGTATCTGCTCTCACACTCCTTTTTGTAGAATCGATGTCAGTTACATGTCGTTGCGTTACATGCATCTGTTTCTTACTACCAATATTATTACAGGTTCGCACCACATGCGCTACATTGGATAGAGTTATGCATGTGATGGCTGAGACTTTTAATACGGACAGAATATGGAATATTAAAATTTTACTTAACCGTTAATAATGCGAGCATACGCTTCGCGCGTTATTTCGGGTACGCATTACGTAATGCACTCTATTAGTGAAGATGAAAAAAAAATAGTTTTGCTGTTTCGAAAAGGGAAACGAGAAACAGTGTTTCAGGCACGGCATCTAAAAGACTATCAACCAGAAAAGTTCGCCTTTAGAATCCTCCTCCACGCAATAAAGATCCCTGACCCACCTACAAAGCTCAAGACGAATATCCAGCAGAGAGTGGGTTTGAACCGAAGGCCTCTCGGTGAACAACACTTCAGATGCGATCTCAACTATAAAAGCATTCCTGCCCGACATTGGCCACTTTTAATAGGTGAATTCATGTTTTATAGGTCGGCATCGTCGCATTGCTTTCTTGGACTTGCTGCTTTGGAACGCCAGGGATGGCGGTCTATCGGACGCCGACATTAGCCATGAAGTGGAAACTTTCATGTTCGCAGGCCACGACACTACAGCCTCCGCCCTCACCTTTACAATGTTACTCTTGTCCCGACATATGGACGCGCAGGCATTGTGAACATTTATTATTTTAACTTAGAATTTTAGCAATAAAATTCCTAAAAATAGGTAATCCACAAGCAAAGTTCCCAGAGAGACTTTTAGCACAGAATGACTCAAAATCGTCTTCAGTTCCGCAATGACATGATGACATATCCAATTACCATGGAGACGATATACCAGGAAGTATTGAACTTCAAAAGAATATAATGTGCCTTAATAAATATTCATCTTTTGCAAATTTCTTACCTTTAGAGAACCAATCCTACATCATTTTTAAGATATCACATTCCTGTCTATAGGAATAATAATGGAGCCATTTTGAAGAAAATCTTGAATGTTTTTAAAACTTCATGTAAAATGTGTCCAAAATCTTAACATCCATTTCGAGTTCAAGAGGCCGAGCCATCAGTCAGATCTATCAGAAAATTGGGGATTTTTTTTCAGTATCAAGGACTCGGAAAATGTGGATTCTGACTACACAACGTGACAAAGAATTACTTACTACATTCAGGAACAATAATTATCCAGTGTTAGGTGTCAGGGAACCAGATAACAAGATTTACTGATAAAAAATGGAATTTTGGGTGCAAAGCGACAATGCTTTTACTGTACTACGAAAATAGAATGCGAGAAAGTAAAAATATTGACGAGAGCCTTGGCAGATGACGGAAGAGGCAAAGATGTACCCTAGAGGTCGCCCTCTATTAAGACATCTATTTAGACTGATTCATCTCAACGGTTTCACGTTACATAGTTATTATTCAATATACATTTTTATGAAATGATAAGAATATTTTATTTTAAAACACACTTTTGTCATTAAAATGTGAGATCTGTAACCTTAATATGAATGAATAATTTCATCGTTCTTGTTATTATTATTTCTAGGATAAAATACTGAAAGAGCTGGAGTCCGTCTTCGATCCGAAACAACCATTGGAGCTATCTCTTCAAAAACTCTCGGAATTGAAATATCTTGAGATGGTAGTGAAGGAATCCCTTCGAATCTATCCCCCAGTGCCTCTCTTTAATCGTCGCAATCCAGAAGACACTGCGCTAGTATCAGGTGAGTGTAAGAGCTGTCCCATTACGTTACCGTAATGGGACAGCTTTCAGCTCTCTTTCAGAGCATATCAGAGCAGCTAATTTCTCAGGTTCATGATGTGAAATTGACCCGACACTCATGTCGTTTAGGTTGTCGTCCACTTTGCCTTCATCCATTGACAAATGCATCACTGGCACTTGTTTTGCTTCTGAACGTAAATGTAACTTCCTGTTTTATGGTTTAAGCGGTATTTAAATAAACTGCATTTCACGCGTTGGTGAGCATTGACAAGTTAGAGATCAAAAAATAGAACACAAGCTCCTTACATTCCCAATATAGATGGTGTCCGGAAGGAACGGGAGGGGAAAAAGGACGTGACGAGTGCAGGTGGGGTTAAATGAGGGTCCTTTTTTTGATGGGATTATTTTGGGAGTGAATAAAGGGAACCTGTTTATTAGTGCAAGGTGAGCTAGTTTTTTATTTGTGGTTAAATTTTTTAATTTTATTTTCGTTTAACAGCGTTGTTTTGTCGTTTTGTCAGTATATGTAGTCAATTTGTGTCATTTCGTTTCGCTCGGGTCAGCATTACAAGTAACTTTTAAGTAAGTTTGCAGTAGTAGTGTCGTTGAAAATTAATGGGTGGGTTGTGTTATTAAGGCCGAGGTGGTGGGAGCCTGAGAGTGTCGAGTGGGTGTTGGCATTTTTTATAAATGAGTGGGTTGTTGAGGATATGGGTGTGAGGAGCAAGGAAAGTGGTACATTTTTGGTTTGATAAGTGCTTGTGTCACGACTCTTTCCGTAGTTGTATATTTCAGTTCGTATTGGTGTCAGTCTTTTGTTTCCGTCTTGATCGTGGCGTATGTAAATGACGCTGATCGGTTGGTAATTATTTGGGTCTCTATTGCTTTTTATAGGACCTCAGTATCATCTTGAATGCCACGTGTTTCCATGTCAGGGTAGTACTGTTGTCGGATGCAGTTGTTAAAGAAGAGAGTCAGGCGTTTATCGCTAGTCTACGTAATGCAGTCGCTTTCACTCCATCGGGACTAGTCGCTTTTGTCTCGTCCAGTGTGTGAAATTGGTCTTTGATTTCGTTGTCTGTTATAATTCATGGATCTTGAAGTGTGTAGTGATGGTTGGATGTTTTCACGAAATTAAGGATTAAGTCGTCTGGTAATTGTGTTCTGAAAAGAGAACATATTTTGTAGGATGTCGGCAAAGGTTTCGAATATAGTCTCGTCTGCCGGACATAGATATTGTCTTATTGCCGTTCGCAAGGTATATGGGTGATTTATATTTGTCTTTGTCTTCATTTCGTCTATCAGTTACCAAACTTTATGGGAATGCTAAGACGTGACGTATTTAAGTCTTTCGTCCAGTTTCTGTAATTTGTGTGTGTCACGTTCTTCTCATATTTGTCTACGTAATTGAAAAACAGAGTTTTGTCTTGATGTCTTCGAGTCCTGTAAAACTGCATGAGCGTTGGTCGTTTGTGCCGTGTTAGGGAAAGGATATGGGAGGGAAGTTGGATTTGGATACGAGAGTTTAGGTAGTGTATTAGTACAGGGATTTGTTAATATGGTGATTAAAAAATGTTCTATGGACTTGTCTAAATCGGAGATGGTGTGCAGGGTAGATGGAAATTTCGTTTTCTTAGATGTAAGGTGTTTGTAATGTGTTCAGTCTATGGTGATTTCACGGTAGGTAGGTAAAGGGTCATAGGGAAGATCGTTGATGATGAAGGTGACAAGTAGATGAATGGATCCTAATTCGTAATTTGGATATGGAGAGGTTAGGACTATGAAACTGGAGGGCATAACCCTGGCAAGGATGTCATGGGAGAAGTCATTTAATAAGTGGATAGGCTTTGAAGAAAAAGCTCGTCACGTTGTCACGTTGTTATAGTTTCGTATGTATTTTTTTGAATTTAAGTCTCCGGCGATTATAGTTTTGTCTGTCAGTAAAGCGTCAAGATCAAAGTGGAGTAAAGGAGCGCTTGGGGACTTGTAGGTGGAGATTATTGTTATGGGGCCTGGAGAGGTTGACCGTTCGATACGCCGCATAAGAGGGAGTTCGGTATGTGGGATGTTTTGCGAATGCAGATGGCGGTTCCTCCTCTCATGGAGGTCTGACAGTCCGGTAGGTGAGAGATACAAAAGGGTTGTGAGGATGTCAGTTTTGTCTCTTGAATCAATGATATCCCGATGGAATAGTCTTTGATGTATTGTCTAATGTCCGTCTTCTTTAGAGATAGCCCTCCGTTGGCGTTCCACGTCGTTATATTAGTTAGTCTTAGTTTAGTCACTAAAGTTAGAACATCTCACAAATTTTGGTCAGAACGGTCATAATTTTCTTCATTGTGTCAGCAGGTTCTTCGATGATGGTGATGAGGTCTTTGATAGTGCTGATGGAGTTTTGGACGTTGCATCCTTTAATGATGGTAAACAGTTCTTTTAGTTCTGAGAGAGTCGATGTTGATGATTTTAATTGTGATGATTAATTCGTCAATGACGTCAGCATATGAGGTGTTGGAGTTGTTTTGGGATTGTTGGAGAGAGTTTTTGGGAAGTCCGTGGAATGCAGTTGTTGAGTGTGAGTTTGGTGCAGTCTGTTCCTGTGTCCTTGCCTTTTGTTTAGTCACTTATGATTCTTCCTGTCTAGCTTTCAGGATGACGAAGAAGGTAGGTCAGTATGCTAGATGATCTACTAAATAGTTTGCGGGTTTTATGGAAATACTATTGCAGGAGTTGGTGGGGTGATGAAGAAAACATTTGGCGCAGACTGTTGGTCGATGACAGTAAATCGTTGTATATAACTTAAATATGAGGACAGTTTCTTAAGCTGAGCAGCAGGGGGTGCCATATTCTTACCAATATTATATCAAGTCTGTAGTTTGTTCACTGATGCAAGTAAATTTTCTTTTACTCCAGAGCGAAATTATCTAACTTAAAAAACTGCTAATAACGCTTTCTTAGTACTTTAATGTATTATCCAACTACTTTCGGCATATTAAAATGGCATAGGGAGTTTCGGCATATTTTAATTTTATATGGCGTAATTCACATAAAATGTTTGCTGTTTCTTGACGGTACATAAACCGTACTGTTTCACGATGGTTTCATAATAAGTGAAATTCAAAAACGTTGAGAAGACTATGTGAAATATTGTATTTAAACATTATACATTTTATTCTTGAAGATTCATTCCTCCTTGATCAACATATTTACTTGCATAAGCCTTTAGTCCGTAGAAAAGCAATTAAAACCAATATAGATTTTTGTGAATGATAGGAATACCCTTTCCCACTACTATTCGACTCCCACTCACAAAATGGCGGCAAATTCCAATTTGGGGATACTAGCCTACACCTGTACGCTCATATTTTATTATAGTGGCGGAGGAAACCAGTCACATCTTATCTCATAATGCTCATAATGTACGCGGAACTAATCAATACAGAAATTACTAAACATTCACTCACTCGACATACGGCAAAACCATTTTTTATCTCCAATGACCAAAACAAATGTCAGTCATTAATTTACATACTTATTAGTTTATATTGTATTCACCATTATATAACTTACAATACAGGTATGAACATTTACATTATTTTGTTCAATCTGTCATTTCTTCAATATTTTGATAACATTTCTTCACGGCCCATGTACTCCCCGTGTAAATTTTCTTTTGTGTCCTCTGCACACGTCTTGACATGCGTTCATTCGCTACGTCCTAAGCAAAGAGGTGAACTAGACGTGAAAATTTGGCTCTTCTAGGTCACGTCATGCCTGAAGGCTGTTCGATCACATTATCGCCGTTCGGCATACATCGCGACCCGGAGGTCTTTCCGGAGCCAGAGATGTTCATCCCTGAGCGCTTCAGCCCGGAGGAGAGCGCGCGCCGCCACCCCTACGCCTACATCCCCTTCAGCGCCGGCCCCCGGAACTGCATCGGTGAGTGCTCCTCCGAACATTGCATTGCTACGACTACGTGCCTGTCTCGAAAATTCCTAGGAGTGGCCACGTGAGCAATTTATACCAAACTCCAACATATTTGTCTTTTAAGGTGGCCAGGTATATCCCACCAACGGGACAGCGCTCCGGCACACGCTCTCCCAATTTATCTCCCGACGTGTGCGGTAGTGATAAAATTACCTTATCAACGACAAATACGAAAATATAAACTTTTCTCTTCCTGTTCGATTTTAATTTGTCACTATTTAATCGTCATCTCTCTCCTCTCCACTGCCACCTCTACGGCCTTGTAGAATACGACGAAGGAGGGTTTGTCACGCTCAGTAATTGTTTCATTGCTATGACCTTGTTACTAGGCCACGTAATAAATGTGTCAATTTTTCAAAGCTTCGGTTTCCCTGATTGGGTTTCAAACACGGAAAACCTGGTGTTCGCCCAGATACTCCCAACCTATCTAGACTTGATTAAACTGGTTTTGGGTCCTGATATTTTGCAAAAATCATATATGTCAGCGCTGAACCGTTTAGTTATTTACTTCACACACATTTTAGACGTGGCACTGTTCTTTTCGAGGCTTCTACTTTTCTGACTTCATATTTCTACTAAAAAATGGTCATCCTACGTTCAGTCTGCTTACCAGCAAATATTCCCGGTTGAATATTGCTAAATTGTACGTCAACTGTCAAATTTCATGCAAATGCATACAATATTTATATTGTGATGTTTTCAAATTTGTTTTGGCCCATTTAGCCACACCTACAACACTTGACTCCAAAAACTGTACGTTTATTTATTTATTTTTCTTATGGCAAGGACACAAGAACCATAATACAGCACATACAGCCTAGTACATTACATTGTGACACCATAACAGTAAACCATCTTCAGAGGGCTACAAAAAATGGCTACTTGCTAGGAGGGACGTGCAGCTTCTGAATCCGTTTCACTGCCGTCGGTGTCAGACATTGGAAATCAGCCGTATCCCCATGATAGGCTGTGAGTTCACATCTCTCCACTAAGTGACTCACGGTCTGAGGGGCATCACACTCACAGTCTGAAGACTGTACAACTCCCCATTTGAAGAAGTAAGTCATGCATTTTCTATGTCCAGTTCATATCCGCTTTTCCGTCTCAAGTATATTGCGAGACAAATCAAACCCCATTTTTGGCTTGTGTTGAGAAAATTGTGGATTGTAGTAGATGTGGTAGCAATCCAGTACTTTTCGAATTCCTATCGAATTTGGCAATTGCTTTACTGTATGTTAATCGCATTAGTGGACCCTTCGGTTCTCTTCCAGGTCAGCGCTTTGCCATGCTCGAACTCAAGAGCGTTCTAGCCAAAGTCGTGTGGAACTTCCGCCTTCTGCCGGCGCCAGATTTCGAACCCGAGCTCACATGGGAGCTCACACTTCAGTCTGCAAATGGAATTCATGTGCGGCTTCAAGATAGGAAGCTAAATTAACTCTGCTACCCTCTGCTAGAGGTCCCTCATTGCTACCTCAAGAAAACTAGCGAAGATATTAAAAATGTTACGTTAATGGGTTTGGGAGAAAATTGTTATGAACACTAATTACTAGCAAAATATTTCACTTTACTCCCAGTATTTCATATACAATTCGTCTGAGAGAGGAAATATCATTTTTATACAAATATTAGTGATTAATTAATATTACATTACCAATGAAATGTATTTTTGTTAATAACTTTCTATTTAGGGCTAGGAAGTTCGGCAAAAGGACTTTTTATAATTATTATTGTAAGACATTTAACAATAGAAATCACTAAACTGTACTTTTCAAACTGTACATTTTCTTCTTTACTTGGTCTAATTTAGTTTGTTTTTTTTATTTTTTTAATGAGTTTCTTTTATTTTGACACTGTCCTTCCCTTTCTTTCCATGTTATCTTTTCCTTCTGCTTCCCAGCAAGATGAAGTCGACATAGACAACACGACAGGTGGATATCACGGAAGCAAGCACTTTCGCGTTTTGTCTTTATCTGCAAGCGGAGTCACGATGTGTGTTGAGATTGGGCTCCAGGACCAGTGTTAACTAATGGTGCTACATAATGACCCCGACCTTTTCATAGTAACTTTTGTTAATGCCTTGGTGTGGACTAGCTTTAAGGTCTTGCCCCATCCTCTTTCCAGGTGCCATCTATCGTCGCCCAAAGTAAGTTCTTTGACATTTTCTCAATTTTTCGGTTTCCTAATAGTAGAACTAAAATATCACTTTAATAACATTAAAAAAGACTAAAACTTCGTCTTTAATGGCAATTTTGTATTGAAAAAACTGGAGCCGTTTTTAAGAAAATGACAATTTAGCCCTATTGTATGTGCGAAATTTAAAGCTCTTTTTCACAGAAAAGTTTTGAGTTTTCGAAAAACTTCATTAGAATTCTTTTGAAAAATTTAAACTCACTCTCATAAGTACAACAGTGTTTACAAACTGCTGGAAATGTACATTTCACAACGTGAGAGATCTATAAAAAATTACGTTTGTGTTTTTGAATAAAACAGATTACACCAGATTAAACTTTGTCATATTAAGCAATGCCAATAGCACTAACTACGAAATGTTTGAAGAAAACTTTGGATCCCTTTTTGAGAAAATGTCGTGTGAGCATTTCTAAAAATGTAGAATTTTGAGTTCATTTTGACTGAAAACTGTTGAGGATTCGAGAAATTACTTTCGGATAATTCAGTTGACATAAACTGAGCGGAAATAAAAACATAATTGATATTAATTAAGAAATGCAGCTAATGCAATTATGCAACTGAATTTTCTCTTGGAAATGTGTAAATAATAGTAATATCTGAAGAGCGGCGGCGATGGTGTAACGGTTAGCGTATTGGCATGGTATACCTAAGTTGACGGGTTCAAACCCGTGGATTTTTAAGGGCCTTATGCTTTCCTTCGGAGGGTAAGTAAAGCCAACTGTCCCATGTTAGAAGATGTACTTGCATGTAAAAGATCCTCAGACTTTAATGATGCCTCTGAGCTAAATTCAAAATCGCTTGTTACTCGCCCAAGAAATACCTCCTTCCTCTGCTAGTTGGTGAAAGGAGCGTAGCGAAATTTGCGTGAAGATGGATGGCCCGAGTCTCGTCACGTAAAATAAGGCATTAATTCAATTCAATGTATGCACTTGAAGACTGACAGAAGTCGTTGCAATTAAAATTTAACATAAAACAGTATGAAGCTGAAAACGTATGTTATAAAATTCTGAAATAAAGAAAAACACATCGCCCACTGTAGCTGTCGCCCATCGCCCGATGAATTCTTGATGTCATCCACAGTGTAGGCGTTTAGCACGTGAACGCGTGCTGTCATCCGTCGTCAGACAAGAGGTACGAGGTCACGGATGCAGGCGATCACTGGAAGCGATTACGTTAACACATGACTATAGCTGTCGCACATAACACATGACAGTGTAGTAGTTAGACTAGTATGTTGCACTGATCACAGTAGGAATTATATTGGCTGGCACACCGTTTCAAAATGAGTATTTCACTACAACCACGACGCAATAAATTGCAGTGGTTCACAATTTCGGAACAGCACAATGCAACAATTCATTACTAGCGAGTACGTGATGTTACGTTATGTTGCACAATGAAACCGCGTTGTTGCCGTGTATGACGCAATCACGTGCAACACCACGACAAGAGTGTTGATGCTCATCACTTACAGTTAGATTAAGTCTTGTAATTCGTATTAGCTCAGCATTTTGCAGTTCACAGTAAAATGAAATAATTAGTCGTGGATGACGTAGTCGTTTCGGGGTTTCCATACAGCACAAATCTAATGATGAAAGCTGTTGTTATAATAAACAATATTGTTGGAAATGACCACTCATATAATTATTTCAATGTAAATGCCGACGAAAAATCACTACAATACCAATTTCAAAATACATAGTTATATAGAATGTTCATCATTTCAACGTATTAACTATAAATTGATTATTCGTGGAACATTGCACAAGGCATTTGGTGCACAGCGGCAATCGCGCGGTACTGATTATGATGTAATCACAAATATTGTTCATGCTGGAAGTGTAACACGTATATGTTTATGACTATTATGAGCTCAGAATAGAATACATCCCAATACATTGCGATATAGAGTCTGCTCTGAGGCTATATAGAGTTTGATGAGGGTCTGCTGTTTCAGTTGCAAGTTTCAGTTGTTCACTCTGTGGCCACTTTGGGCAAACATTTGTTAATGAAATGTGATATCATTGGTACAGATAATTTTCGAATTATTGTTTGTTCCATTGTCTAAAACTTGTTGTCATTAGAAAAATTAAACAACCACACGAGATTTTTCAAGGCCTAAAACGTTTTTCTTACTATTTAGAGGCTGGGAATATGGTCATAAGTAATTTATATTTTTAATGAAAGTGGTAATCTCTGAATTAAGCTCAATAGTTGGTCAAATTTATTCTGGCATTTTTTTTAATTTAGTGATTGCCATTGAGAGTTATTGTTTTGAATTTGATGTCAACTTTTGATAAAGTTATTCGAATTTCTTTTTATATATAATTAATTTTTTTTATATTGTTGTATGTTTGTATTTCCTACCAAATTGTTAGTGACAAATCTCCGAAAGTCTGAATCGGTCTAAAATTGCTTGATGACTCTGTGAGTAAATATTTGTCGTGAAAGTGGCAACGGTAAGACGTTGGCAAATAGAAGTAAGGGATACCGATGTTTCTGTAGGCTTCGGTGAATTATTTTGCTATCACAATATTTGGAACGCTCAGCTTTGAGGTTACTGCACAATTAATTGAAATACGATTTTTCAGCTTAAGAGTATTTAATGCCACGAAATACGATATCGTACGATACGTACACTACCACAAAATATCTAAAGTGCAATTCGACTATCAATCAAACAACGTGAGTGGATTCCAAACCGATCTGTTTACTTTCATTTGGAATGCCTACCTGTTGCATGCAAATAAATTCCACCAATTTCCCTCTAATTGGAGTTCAATTTCAGAGTACGTACAGTTTACTTCGTCGGACTATCAAATTTGCAATCAGAATTCAGCAAAGCATTACTTGCATGAAACAGATAACGATGGTTAGGAAGGGCAAATAAATACGTAGATAATATGTAAAACAAGGTAAGTTAACGTGTAAGGGATAACTGAATCTCAAAATGAGCTGAAAAATTTTACTTTTGTGCTCAGATGAACAATAGTATAGAAAATTAAAGCATAGAAAAATTAGATATTTTACTAGTTGGATGTTATCAATTCTATTTAATGACTTCATGGGGGTTTCAATTTTTCTCCAATGTACGTTAAATGAAGTGTATTTTCACGGTTTAGAGCGCTTATCGCAATTGCTTTCTGAATGTTCTGCTGGGCCTCCCTTCCATACTACCTACTATTTTATACTGTCGAATGGATTCGATGTCTAAAATTGCGCTTACTGACCGTGTTCAACGTAGAGATCTATATTAGGAAGAAAAACACCGTCCGCGACAGATCGTCCACCTATCTGCCTAACTGGCATAGATGGCTCACAGCATCAATGAATTCCACTGCAGTGATTCCGACCTGCACGTTCTGGAGTTTCGGATACCGACGCGTCGGTGGCAGGGTATTTCGACACTACCTACGCAGCCAAGTCGAATTTAGCTTCTGTCTGGAGACTTCTAGCGGACGGCTGCACTATTCGGCAGTTTTCTATGGTTTCTCCGATCAACGGAAAGCATATCCCGTAACAAACGGCCACGGAGTTCTCCTCCCGAGAGTTCTCTCCTCCCTTTGATCTGGCGGTGTCTTTGACCACAATCTTTCGACAGTCGGGAATCGAATCATAGGGCCTCCCGGTCACTTACGGTAGGGATATCAGTTGATACCTTGAACCACCTAAGCCGTTTTTATGACATTATTTTTTTGAATATTGATGTATATTACTAACTATACTCATGAACCTTTTGTAATAAGAATTGATTAGATTCGATTTATTACTAATTATGCAATTAAGTTTGAAAACTTGGAGGAAGAATACACTAACTTATAATTTCAGAACTTCACAACTCTACAAAATGTTCGAACTTTACAAGTTAACGTGAACATTTCTCCATTCATAGCACTCCACCTCACCACACTTCACTTCACCGCACAGCGGATCACAGAGCCGTAATGTTTTTCTTACAGACTCGTTTCCCTCAATTTAACAACGCTACCACACTGCACGCCACAGCACATCATTAATAATAATAATAATAATAATAATAATAATAATAATAAATCTTACTTACAATAGGAGACTAGTAATTGAATAATGTTAAGATATTTGTAATATACATTTCAACATCTAGGAAACTAATTATGCAGGCAAAGCATTCTAGTCACTAATAGTTCCATTCACGAATGAATATTACCGAACATGCGTTTTCTGAATTCTCATCTGAATTTTGTGCATGTGATCTGTTTTGCGGAAGTAGGTAGTTTTCCCCACTCAACTTCCCAATTTCTTTCCACTTTCGAACGTCTGTGTAAGCTTTATACATAACATAAGAGACGCAACTTCATTCTCCTCCTTTTTCCTCTCGTACTCTTTTATTCTTGGTACTACTGGCCGTAAATTATGATTCTCTACGCTGGACCTTTTCTAGATTCCTTTACTGCAGAATTCTGTACGGGTCAATGTATTTTTTGAGAAATATGACCCCGTCATCTCTTAATGCGGGTGACAAATGTTAGAATAGAGAGCTTTTGCCCACCTTAGTGGACAGCAACCGACAACATTTTTGGGCCTCTGCGCATGCGCCAACTCGAAATCGAACTCGAAGTGTTAGCGGGTCTCG